TGGGGTTTGCCTATGTACACATTAAAAAAACAAGTAAACACCTTAACATCTTACTGTGATTCGAAAATGAAGTGTGTGTGTATTTCATTGTTATCGGTTGCCAAGTTTTTGCATATTTGCAACGGCTTAGGAGTTCATTCACAACTTCACCACCGGATACGTTGTGTTCTTACTTCGTACATAAATTGTTTGTTATATAAACATACCTGATAATTTCCTATCTAAATGAATTTCGTAGTCCGTATATATATAGAATAATCAAAGCATAGATTTACTTTTTTTTGCACATTTACTTTTATATTTTTATTAATTGTTACTTATTGAAGACAATGTGTAGAGAAAAAAAATGCGATTGCAATCAGAGCAGAAATTGGTTTTATTATCACATCCAGTATAGCAAATATGTTGAAAGAACTTTGTATGCATGAATGGACCATTTTTTTAAAAAGAGACATTTTCTTACATCGATTAAATTAAAGATATTGTAAATACATGTATTATTATTATTATTGTTGTTATTTTTATTCTTATTTTTATTGATATTATTATTATTATTATTATTATTATTATTATTATTATTATATGAATATTTATTGATATTATTATTATTATTATTATTATTGTTATAATTTTTCTATTATTCTATTATTGTTATTACTATTATTATTATTGCTAATGTTTTTATTGTTATTATTATTATCATTAGTCTTGTTCTTATTCTTCTTATTATTATTTATATTTTTATTATTATTTTTCATATTATTATTGTTATTATTATTATTATTATTATTGCTATTATTATTATTAACGCATATATCATATATATCGGTAACATTATTATTATTATTATTATTATTATTAATAATAAATACCGGTAGCAGGCTCTCGCAACATCAACACATTGTTACTTATAAAGAAAAGAAACACCTTTATCGGAAAATTAAAATTTCAGCTGAGCTGAGATCAAATTTTCTTTTTACAAATTTTCTCAAATAATTTCAATTTCAGAAGAAATTTTTTCCGAATGCTTATATCAACTCGGTATTTTAAATATGAACACATTTTATTATCAATGAATTGAAATTATTTTAAACATTTTTTAAGTAAACTGTTTACTTTTTCTCCCTAATGAATAAATTTAGATTCCTGTTTATGTTAGTGCTTTAAAAGTTTAGTCTTCGAATTTATTCTCTGGCTAAATTAATAATAATAATAATAATAATAATAATAGTAGCTTTTTCTTTGAAATATTCCGTAGATACTTTTATAACAATAAATATGTTGTGCATGTCTTGTCAGAGTATATAATCTATTTATGTTTTGTATATATAAGGCTGCATTTTTTTTTTTTTTTTTATATATATATCTTACTTATTAATCAATATGAAATGAAGGATAAAACGTCTTCCCTTTTTGTCATTTCATTTATTTTGTTTAAATATTTTAAAAAGTTTACAAAAATTGCATTAACTCTAATGTATATAAATATAAATAATTTGAATTGATTTTTTTATAATTACGTATCTCTTGCTTAACTTTTTTTTTAATTTATTATATTGTTACACAATTATTAAGAAATATTATTATAATATTTAGTTTCCCTTCCCCTTTTGCCACACGCAAGCGCTACTCACGTCAAACAATTAACTAGCATTTGGGTAGAATTACACTGGTCAATCCAAGAGAGGTTCTTACCAGCTTTAGTAGGGCTTATAACATACCCACAGTTGAATTCATCCTTAAGCATTTCCTAATGTTAATCAGCTAGAAAACGTTTCTTAGTTGATTATAAAAGAGAACTGGCGGTCGATTTACAATCGTCAGGCTGATGGTGGTCATACTGATAACATAGTCTTTCTTTCTCCTTCTCTCGCTCTATAATTCAATTTCTTGGAATTTGTTATTGTTATTAGCAGGAATTAAGATGGACAGACGAAATTTTACGCAATTATGAGAGATTTCGAATAGAAAATTGATAAAATTGAAGAGCAATCCAAGTCCATGGATAAAAAAATAGGTAAGAAATTCCATGCAGCGTATGTTAACATTTTTGTGTTCTTAAAATAACGCATAATAATACAGTAAAAGAGTTTTCCGAAACTCTTCAAGTATATTTTAAATTGAGCCTTCTACATCCGTTTTTGCGGCCACGTTAGTTGCGACAAACTCATGCCACCCAATATAAGCCTTACAGAGCTTTTGATTTGTAGGTGTGTTGAGCGGAAAGTTGTGAAAATTACTGAACATTGAGTCTTTGTTGATAAATGCAATATAAAACAAGTACGAACATTATAGTCGGCCAAGGCTGATCATTAAACACTTTTCACCGCATTGTCTAACGCAATTTTTATTTTTGTGTGAAATTTTTATTATGGGTCAATTTTCATTCCCACAAGTTTAAAGCTAGAGTTTCCTGCTCTACAATGGACCAGTTTTTGTGAAAATCCTTATTACGGTAAGATCCAAATAATAGGCCGAGATGGTCCAAATTTGGTACAGTTAATTTTTTTATGTTGAATTACTATTATGATATAATTTTCGAAACGAAGCTTTTGAAATTATACCTTTTTGTCGTTATATGAGAGGGAGTTAAGAATTGCACCATTCGGTTCAAAGTTTTCATACCAATTGAGAATGCTAAAATACTACTACTTAGCCACTTTTGCCGGCAAGCTTTGAAAATTCTTTCCATATAACAACTTTTCCGAATAGGGCATTATATGTGGAGTTGTCGAACAAGTGGACCGATACGAACTATTTTCAGTAACGTTCGGCCTTGGGATAAGACACGTCACTGTACCAAATTCCATCAAAATACAAATACAGCTTGATTACATATTTACATGGGCAGACATCAGACGAAAAGACGTACAGATGGGTTTAGATGAATTCAGAAAATGATCCTGGATCGATCGGTATAATAAAAGGTGGGTCTGTCTTAAGCCTTCCGCACTAACTTAATATATCCTGTACCACAATAAAAAAAATGGAATAGCATTTTGATAATAGTTAAAGGTTGGCGTCTTTGCTGAGCGATAATGACTAACTCTGCGCTGAATCTTATGTGGCCATGGTAAACACCTTTAAAAAATTTTACCTCAATACGTATGGCTGCAGTCCTTTCATACTCAAGCCAATTAACTGGATATACATGCTAAGTTCCATCTCATTTTTCTGCAACCGCTAGCGTTCTAGTAATACTTGACAAATAGACAGAAAGACGCACATATTGGGTAACAACACAATTCGATTGCTGACCAAGAAGATCCACGCTTTATATGTTATCTGATGAATATGGTTAGGTTTTACAAATACAAGAAAGGACCTATAATTGTCCTTGGATTTCTATTCTGCCACGTGGTAGATAAAAAGGTTTCGTATTTTTGGGTTTTCCACTTTCCTTTTATTGTAAATCGTGCTTCTTTGAAAAACTAATTGAAGATAAACTTTAGTTAGCAGCTATTTATTTTTAATATTTGTGTGATGTAGAAATAATCATCGAAGAGACAATAAATCGATAGATTTTCTCATCAATATAAATAGTCTTTAAATAACGATTGCGATTACTATCTATCTTTCTGCTTCATTTTATGTTCCATAATTAATTGAATGAATCCGTATTTGAAGACAAGTGTTTCCAAGTGAAGTAAATATATAGATGCGCAGATCATTTTGAACCGAACCTTTGAATGATGGCCGTATCTCGGAAGCCAAAAGCATAAGAACCAATGAAGCCGATGATATGATTTATTAACAGGATGACGAAATTCGCTTTAAGTTATTGTTAATTATGTACAGCCCTAATCAATAAAGGTATATTGAAATTATTTTCGAAAATAATTACATTTTTTTTTTTTTTTTTTTTGCGCAAAAGGAGAGTTATGTGATTGTATGTCATCATAAATATTAATTTTCATCCTGAAGTTTTACTACTTTACTCATTTCAAAAGAAGGCAGTAAAGGACTTAGCATCACCGATTTCAAAAACATATCAACATGTCATCAAGTATTCAATAGTGAAGCAATAAACTCTTCATTGATTTTCATAATAATGGATGTGGGCGCCCTTGTGAAGAGCAAACCGAGTTTTTTTTTCAAATATTATAACAAAATAATAAATCATTAATTCGGCTTTTTGCATAACTTTTGAGTATTAAAGTTTCCAAAACTACCTTCTATACTTTTCAAACTGTAAACTTAAACATACTCTCACCTTTTGCTTAAGTTATAACGAAACCAGTAAAGTCTACATAAAGTTTATGTTTTGCATGTTGGCAGTTATTGAAGCTCGTTCAGGGGAAACTTTCGCATATATTCGGTTTTCGATTCATTTGATTGACATTTCAATAAGCATCTTTTCACATCGTTTGGCAGTAATAAATGGCTAAAGAGTTTCTTCTCACCTTTTTAACGTATAATTCAACTTCAGCTGGCCAGTTTTTTTATTACTATATTTCTTTTGTTGTTGTTGTTGTTTTCTTCTTATTTTTTTTTTTTTTTGTTTTTTAATATAATGTACATTTGATTTATTATTATTAAAATTTAAATAATTTTTGTCATTTTATTAAAACTTCTCTGGTCATGGAAAAAAATTCACAAAAATACATTTTTATGTAAACATTTAAGGCTAGACAAGAATTGCGTAAATTTATATATCATATATATTAAATATTTTTCACTTTGAATACAGATTTGATTGATGTTTTGAATTTGATTTTGTATAATTTTTGTTTTAATATTCATTATTTTGATAATTAATATTTCGCTGGCTTTATTAGATTTTAATCTGTAATATTATAATCAAAAATGTATATATAATATTATAAAAGATATTAATAATATAATATAATAAAAAAATTTATATATAATAAAAACATTACAAAACACAATAATATAATAATAATAATAATAATAATAATAATGATAATAATAATAATGATAATAAAAATAATAATAATTACACAAAAACAATAATATAAAATAGTTAGGAAAAAAAAAAAAAAACAAATCGAGAATACAGGATTAAAAGGGAAAAAAGTTCTCGTTATTTATAAAAAGTAAGAAAATATTCATAGATTCAGCTTACAACATTACATAATTACATATGTATGTTAAAATACAATAATTTCATTGATATACACATACAAACTCATTAATACAATTTTCCATTGCGTTGGCTTTTTTAATTATAATTTATATATATGTAAATATATATATATATATATGTATCATGCAACGAGAACAATAGCAAGTAAAGGAAAGTAAACTTTTTTTCGGTTGAGTTAGTTAACATAAAACCAGATTGCGTTGATAGCGGGCATAGAGCAGCAGATCCCGAATTTAGACAATAGTGGAATTAATGAAATCAAATCAAATGCGGTCAATATATTAGCCCCGTCAGTAAGAAAGCGGCTGGGTAATTTATAAAGAGTCCATTAGTCGAGAGAATTTGCATGCATTGCCGTGACTGTCCTGATCGATGCCTATGCATAGGAGCAGTTTACATATAATAAAGATGTAAAGGCAACGTACATCTAATCGATGCAGGACAAATGCGGCATATGTCTTTGCCAAGTTCGCCGGCCATGCATGTATTTTCTTTTGTCTTACAGAACTTTCTGAACTACCTAAACGCTTCCTTAACGGCAACAAATTCTCTTCTTTTTTTTTTTACTGGGCCAAGTTCTATTTTTGCTGCTCTACACTTTGCAAATTCTGCCTTATGATAGTTACCATAGTTCAATGAACGTTTGCTTTCCTTGATTTATTTTTAATTGCTTTCGTTATACACATATTTGTCATGTTTTCTTCCGTTAATTAAATCTTAATTGAAATACAAGTGAATACAAGAGCGTGGGACGCGTGGCGTTTATATCGTTAAGCGGGCAGATTCAGCGCTTTCAAGTACTTTTAATCAGCAATAATGTTTTTTTTTTTTGCCTCTTTATGTATCCTTCGTTTAAATCCCAATTTATTGGGTTTGTTGTTGAATTTCGATTTTTTCCACTGTCATGTCTGGATTCATTGCTGTGGCCTCCTACAATGGAAAACAAAATTGACACCATCTTGCTAAAGTTTTATATAAAAATTAGATTAACGTGAAATAATCGCTAATTGAAAGATGTTTTTCTCTCTGACGTTAGGCTGGATCAACTCCAACCTACTTAGCTTTCATAACCTAATAAAATAACTTTCTTATCTGATAAAAGGAGCGGAATACTAAAAACTTGTTGAAAGAAAACTATGAAGTAGAAGAACTCTAGTGTCAATTCTTAAGAAGTATGTCTCGTCTGCATAGGTTGTTTGAAAAGTTCCCCACATATAAATTTCAAGCATTTTGGAGTAGCAGTTGTTATGTGATAACCGCCGTTCAGCTCAGTGTTTTAGTGAAAACGGGAAAAAATTAGAATCGAACTCTCACTACGCCAAGAGGGGCTGGGCGCTGTAAAAGGATACACTGCCCAATTATTTGACTCGGAGAAATTTTGCTTGTCTAAATTGAAATTAGCTTGGGTAACGACGACATTTCGGGAGGATCAAAAACTGTAACTCTTGATGAACATGATAATCGCTCAATTTTCACCGATGATTTTCGATTAGCGTCGAAATGTGATTAGAGGGATAGCCGAAGCGATGGGCATGTCCAAAGAATGTCTTTCTTAAACATTAAACCGAGACATAGGCATGAGGCGACCTACAGCCCGTGGGATACTGTGTTTGTTTAAGAACAAAAACAAGCTGGTGAAGGCATAAATAGGCCAAACATCCAGGGCATGTCATCTGTTTAGGGTATCATACCAGTTGTACTGATTGCACAATTTTTAAAGATCATGATCAAAAAGTTCGATCGGAAACTTTATACATATAATCAATATATCGATTACAAAAGCTTTTTTTAAATACCGAATTTCCTAAATCGCAGTTGCTGTTCCAACAACCCAATGGCTTCTATTCTAGTTTTTTGCGCTGATAATTATTATCAGATCAAAATCATCCCTGCATAGGCTAATTGTTATTCGAATTTTTTACCTTAGCGTAACTTTTTCAATCTGAGGCCGATAAACTAAAAAGCCTTTCTATATTTCTCTATTGCTTACCTGTATTGCCTCAGCCAGAGCTCTGTCATGATCGATGGGATCTCCATCAGATTGTATGGTAATCTTTTGTTCTACCCGTGTTTCAACAATGCCATCACGTTCGGTTTTATACTATAATATAAATTATATTTGATAGAATGTAAAGTGAAAGTTTACTTAATTTAAGTCAAAGCATTTACCGTTATCGTTTCGACGGTGCGTGTTTTGCTGCTAACTGTTTGAGTGGAAACAATTTCCCCATGTCCGCTATAGCCGGGTGTGTGCTCTCCTAATACCACGCGAGTCTGTTCTACATGCGGTCCCATAGAGGCAGTGCCTGCAGTGGCCGATGTTTGATGTATAAGAGGTTGCTACACACGCACATCATAATTTAAAACATTGAGACAATAAATATTCATACAACGGAAAAGTGTTCGCATAGAAAAGAGAGAGAGATAGAGCGGATCTCTCTAAAAAAAAAAAAAAACCTAAAACGCACCTTATAAGAGTTCGGAGAAGTACGATGTTGTACAGTACCCGATTCATCATAAGGACCATCAATGGGCGTACCTGAGTCGCCAGAACTAGTTGATGATATGCTTTCACGTCTTTGGAACTGTGCCATTATATATTATCGTGCACATAACGCAAATGATTTTCGAACATATCAACACAATAATGAAACACAAAAGATATTTACATGAAATTATAGTAAGACATGCTCAAACGTGCTTATAATTTATTTGGTTGGCTAACTATATGCCTACCTGATCACCACTCGTAACGGTTGCGGTTGTCTTCACTTCCTGTGTTACTACTCTTTGTTCCTGCTTATTAGGGTCATGAGTGCGAGTGGTGGCAACGGTTTTCTCTTCCAATTGTTCGGTTTTTGCTTTTTTACCCAAATCCTCGTGAGTAGTGGCAGTGCGTGTGGTCACTGCGGTGGCAGTAACGTAAGCACCGCTGGTTATATCCGCGGCAGGTGTATCGGCCTGCAGTTACGATTTTAAATTGTTATGATGAACATTTAGATAAGCAAACAAAAATGAGGATAAAAATTATAAAAATTAAAAATAATGGCCATAAAAGCATTTACTAGGCTGCATATGCGTACATACATACATGCTATTTAAATGGAACTTTTATGGGAAATTAGAAACAAATGCCATAAAAGCATTTGTTAGTCTGCATAAGCTTATATACATACATGCTATTTAAGTGCAACTTTACTTACTTTTCAGGACTAAAAAAAAAAAATCCAAAAAATCCCTAAAAGCTAAGCTCAACGCATCGGGAATGAAAGAGATGATGAACGTGAACAATTAAACAAGCCCTTGTCAATTATTAAAAGCTGCGTGCATTTTGCTTGTATAGCCTTTTTCTTTTGTTTCATATTGTGCGCTTAGAAGTACCTTTCCCAGAGGTTCTTAAATTTTGAAACCCAAGAAACCTTTTATTGTACCCTTATCTCTTTCATTCTCGTTGTTTAAAAAAAAAAAAAATTTTATATCAAACCTTGTGTTCCTGTGTTGAGAACGTCACCTCTCCAGTTCCCAAATTGCGCACTTCCTCTTCCACATTGTGTGTAACGCCATCATCGTTTTTGGTCAAAACTTGTTTGGTTGTTGTCTTGACAACCGTAGGTGTAGTAACATATTTATTTTGTGCAGCACTCTGCTTAGTACCACCAATAACGATATCTTTAACATTTTCCGTCTCGTATTCATGGGTCATATCGTCTTCTGAATCGGAAGCCTCAGAATCACGTCTCAAGGCATTTTTTCCCATATGCTTTACGCCATCGAAAAATTGTTGACGAGTTATGGGTACTGTTTCGGTGGTGGTACTAATTTGGGCTTGCTTGCCAAAGTGTGATGGATCAATTTGGGCATAATTAAGTATGAGTTTGCCTGTAACGGGATCGCGTATAGCTGTGGCTGGATCGATGTCCCCAGTGTTCGGATCTATATCACCATATTCACTTTTAATGCGTCCAGTGACAGGATCAATTTCGCCAGTTAATGTCATGGTATGTGTAACAGTAGTACGAGCGCCTGCGAAACGCGGATCATTGGGATCAACCTGCACGATTTCACCGGTAATAGGATCAATCATATTGTAAACATAGACAGTTTTATTAAAGAATTTAAGGACCCGTCCCGAGACAGGATCAATTTCACAAGTTTCCGGATCCAACTCTTCGGGACGGCCGCGTTCATCGACTTTGGAAATAAGTAAAATGCGTATTAAAACAATTTTTCCCGTTTTGGGATTAACGCGGGCTAGTTTGGTGTATACCTCTCCAGAGTCGGGATCTACTTGGGTGGTGGCGTATACGGGTTCACCAGTAGCTGCGTCGACATCACCGGTGGCTGTGTATATTTTGCCGGAAGAAGGCTCGACCTTGAAAAGATTCGGATCTAGTTTGGTTTGTTTCTTGACTTCGTTTGTCTTTGGGTTCAGATAGCCGTAAATGGTGATTACGTAACCCGTTTTTGGATCCACACTACTGGAAACATATTGCGGTTCCTTTGTATTAGGATCAACAGCACCAGTAGGCATCCAAATTTGATTGGATTTGGGATCGACAATAACATCTTTATCTTTAGCGGTGCTAATTTGTGAAATCGGATTTTTGGTCTTGGGATCTACTCGTTGTTGCACGATACGCAAGCAAATAATGCGAGCATAGTCTTTATCAGGTTTATTGGTTTTTGGATTGATTTGATTCTTGAGAACAATCTGCCCGGTTGATGGATCGATTTTAATATCGCGTGTTACGGATTTACCAGATTTGGGGTCTGTAAATGTGATGGTATGCTTAACCAAATCGATTTGCCCATATTTAGTGTCAACTTTTCCAGCTTTCGGGTCAAACTGTCCACCTGATGTTTCCAACTGAGCGGTTTTCGAATCGATAACATTCTTCTTTGCATCATATTTACCGGATAAAGAAGTCACTTCAACAATAGGATCAATTTGTTGGCCAGCCTCTATAAGCCGACCCTGATTAGGATCCAGTTTTCCAGTTTTAGGATCAACAATGCCCAAAATAGATATTTGGCCCGTAGCTGGATCGATTTTAACATTCTTGGTTACTACCATTTTACCGGATTTAGGATCGACTATTTTTAATTCACCTGCTCTAGTATTGATCTCACCGTATTTCGTATCCAATAAGCCTGTTTCAATGTTCAAGACACCCAGGGATCGTTCGACTTCACCGTTAACTATATCAATTTTACCGGTAGTCGGATCAATACGGCTAGTTATCACTGTTAATTCGACGACAGGATCCTCCTGAGGGGTTATGCATATTATTTGTCCGAGAGATTCGTTCAAACGACCAGTTTGCGGATCGCTAACACCATTAATTAAATGGATATTACCGGTTTTAGGATCAATTTCCCCTTGGTAGGTTTCATTTTCACCCGTCTTGGTATTCAACGCTAGCAGAGTACCTTTCTGAGGATGAATTACACCATATTTCGTATCAATGAAGCCAGTAGCAGGATCTAAAATGCCAGTTGAGTGTTCTATTGTCCCGTTCTCTGAATCTACTCGCTTGGTCGAAGGATCAAATTTAGACGTTATTACCATAATTTTAACTCGCTTCTTTTTGGGCTTAGCGGGTGTAGCAGACCTGGCTTTTGCAGGAATTACTGGTGGCGCAACGGGCTTGGACCCTTTACCAATTGATTTCGGTGAAGCAGTGACAGATTTTCCCTCTCTGCTTGGAGCAGAAGTATCTACTCCTTGTTCTCTATTATATCTTTCAGAATCTAAGAAAGCCTTGGTGGGATCTGCCATTAAAGGCTTATAACTGCCTGGCGCTCCAGAGCTGTAACCTTGCATTTGACCTTTGGTGGGTGAATATGAACGTTTTTGAGTATCTCGAAGAGGTTCGGCGGCAGCGTCAACAGCGCTACCTTGCAATTTAGCCCGTGTTGTAGGAGAAAGGTTAACTTCTTTTAATAATTTTTCTCTGGTTTTAGGAGACAATTGTCCTTTATTTAGTTTGTCACGAGTGCGAGGGGACAGTTGACCGGATTTTAATTTCTCAGCAGTTTTCTTCAAAGCTTCTTCATTACCCGGGGCATAGTTAAAGGCTAAGCCAATTTTCTTTTGCTGAGCTGTGGGCGACAATTGGTCTTGCCCTTCTGAAGCGCGTTTAGCACTGTCAGGATCGTGATCGTAACGAAAACCGCCTGGTATATAAGATTTGCGTGTTGGACTAATCTCACCGTCACCATCGGTGTATTCATAAGGTTTCACATAACCAGGAGATGAGGTATCGCTTGCAACAACAGGTACCATTTCTTTTTCCTTTCCAATCTTATCTTTACCAGATCTTTCCTTATCTTTAGCTTCTTTGGTCGGCGAACCACTTTTGCTTCGGCGTCCCGACAAAAACAGGCCACCACCCTATTGTCAGATCGTCCATCACAACAAACCGAAGTTATTATTATGATGACAGTAGTAGTAGTAGTAGTAGTAGTAGTGTCGTATAGCGTGTTGTAAAGGTGTACCAGAGTTGTAAAATCATAATCATAAAAAGGGTTTAAGAAAAAAGAAACAAAACAGAGATAAAACCAAAGTCAAAAAAAGATTAAAACCGATAAACAAAAGAGAGGGGCTAGTAAAGTAAAAACACTATAGTAACAATAAAGGAAGGATAAAAAATCTAAGTTACAACCAATTATCAAAACGAAAGTTGTTGTGTAGAGTGTCATAGAAAATCTGTTTTTTATCAATTGTTTATATTCTTCCTTTTATGAATCGATTGGTTTTTAGATGTAAACATGGATTTACCTTTTGCTTCCCGGACTTCTGTGAATCGTTTAAGTTCTCGTTGCCTGAAAGGTGACAATGAAATGTTCAGTTAGGAAAAAAAAAAAAAAGTAGAATAATTTATAATAATTGACTGTGTTACCATTAAGGCCTTCCGTAGCTGTTCCAGCCGTGAACTTCTCCGGTTTCTCTTTGCCAGCCTTTTCTCGAGCTTCCTTCTCTTTTTTCTCCTTTTCCTTCCTTTCTTTTTCCTTCTTCTCTTTTTCTTTACGTTCCTTTTCCTCTTTTTCCTTTTGTTTCTTTTCTCTTAACTTGGCCTCCTTTTCAGCCTCCTTAAAAAAAATTCATTAAAATTATATAAATAAAAAAAGTAAATATTTTAAAAATTTTTATCCGATTAAATAAATAGAAAGAAAATATTTATTGAGTATTAAGCGATAGATATACTAATATATATATACATATATACATATATATATATATATATATATTTTGTGCATTCAGGAGTATTAGTAGATAATAAAAATGAAAATATTTTACTTTTGGAATGAATTTGAGCAAGAAATATCCGTTAATAATAGGTATGTGTGTGAATGTTATAGAAATTCTTAAGCGGGTTTTTCACTACATCTAAGAGCTTTAAACTCTGAATTTTTCCAAATTCATCTCTTATTTACTTGAAGCTGGCTACAAAAAACGCATTATTCCGTTTTTTGCTTTGTTTGCATAATTATTTCAAAAATACTGTTTAACGCTAGTTTTTAAAAGAAACATATTAGAAATAAAGGACAAAATTAAAGCATTTTATATTTTTAAGCTTTTAAAGCCGATAAGCAATTTTGTATTTGTATCGTAGTGTAGGTGAATGAATTTGCTTCAAAATTTTAATTTAATTATTCGAATAAGCAAAAAGAAGCAAAAAGACCAAAATCAGTTATGTACAAGGGCAACAAAAGTGAAAATTACTGTCAAATAAGCCAGAGTAACTGATAATAAGTAGTTGTGATGCTTAAAGTAAATCCATTTCATTCTTGGCGCATACAGTCATTGTTCCGTCCCGGAAAGGTACGCTAAGGAAAATGTACTTGAGACAAATTTATACCCATAGCGAGGCAAATATTGCAATTGAAATAATAGTAATTATTGCGTGAAGAAAGGCCATAGGATGAGGGTACAAAACGTTTGCAACTCCCAAAAGGAAGCATCAGAGACCCCACAAAGTATATACATTTTTGATAGGAATCAAATTCTACTTCTGTTTAAGAAAGTCCGTCCGTCCGTCCGAATGTCTGCTCGTCTATACGTATATCCGTCTGTGTAATGTCTGTTTTAAGCATTTTCCTATCCACAAAATTGAAGCTTTCGACTTCAAGCTTAGCAGAAACAAATCAAATTCTTGCACGCAGGTTCGTGTTTTAAGCGGGCGAAATCGCTGGCGGGACACACTCGCAGCGTCACGTAAATTGAGAAAGCCTCTGTTTTTCAAACGAAATGAAAAATGGGATGTTTGCTCATTACTTATCAACTATAGCGGATAAATGTATAAAAATTTGAACGCATATTCTATGGACGAAGCTGTAGCACTCTCACAAAATTGGAAAAATTGATCACGCCTACCTGATAGTATAGCGTATCAAAATTTAATTTGTTTCCCAATACCTTCAAAAACGGTAGAAACGACCTTCGAAAACCCCAAAAAGTATATATAAATTCTTGGCCAGTTTTAAATTTGGAATGCACCTAAACATGTCTGTCTGTCTGTCTGCGTAACTGTGTTGCATTTGTGGCAAACGTTCTTCCGTTAGCGAAAGTGAATATATCGCCTGCAAATTTTGCAAGAGAATTTAGGTGGGACCTAAGCTTTTCACAGGACTCGCCCCCAACGCCCACACGCCTATGCGGGGAAACCTTTTTTTTGAAAAGGAAAAAAATCAGTTGCGTCCACTCTATATTGCAGAGCATGAAAATATAGTTCTTTTTCAGTTTTTGTCCTTTTTGAGATAACGGTGATGGCTATAAAAGATTCGGTCACAACCGATAATATAATTTTCTTAGTTTGTGTTCTTTTGAAGTAGCATGCATCATAGTTTATTTCATCGAATGGAAACATTTTTGCAAAACATTTATAATGTTCAACAATATGACTTCTTTCCCGGCGATGAAGCGCTACTAGAGTCGGACTATGATTTAAGTGAGCTGGTAAAAATTCTAGTGGGGGCACTTGGTAATGGATATTTACTCCCAAATTAAATAGCGCAGAAGTCAATATAAACATTGCTACCATCTGGTATTAATATAAAGGAATTTAACTTTTGGTTTCGCTTTGAAAGACGTATAAAATATGTCAGGTCCTTTCACTACAATCTAAAATAAAAAAAAAAGTTGTCCATTTCCGAGAAGAATAGCAAGTGTCACTTCCTTCAAATAAAAGAAAGCGGGATTATTGTCAGATAATCAAGCACATGCACATCAAAAACAGGTATATTTTTTACACATCTCAGCGAATCTTGATTTGTTGCCTAACAAAAGAAGGAGGTTTCTCATGTCGATATTTGGAGATTTGGCAATAATAAGTAAAAAAAAAACAACTTCAACAATGGTGAAGCATTAATATCAGAGAGATAGGCTAGCGATCAAATGTTCAAGTTTATATCACACATCTACTTAGCGGTTACGACTTCTTAAATGCCATAAAATTTTTCATTGTTTGTATACAATGGATATTCAAATTAATAACTTGTCCGTAAAAAGGCTTCTGAAAGCGAAGACTTTTCTAAAAGGCAAGCTTGCATTACACAAATATTATGAACCTTAGGACGGTACGTTATACATGCTTTTGTTATTTAAAGACAAGAAGAGTATAAATCTGCTTTTGATTAAATTTTTTCTTACTCTGAATTCGATCCCAAGGGTGTAGTTATTAAAATTACTCTATACTTCATAATAACAATATTTAGTTCTTAAGCTTCTAGGTTTGGCTCTATTTTCAACCAACGTAAACCTTTTGCGGTACAGGGTATATAACTTGCACAAGGGTTTCAGGTAGATCCACCTTTTATTATATCGATCGGTTCAGAATCATTTTCTAAATCGATCTAAGCATGTCTGTCCGTCTGTTCGTGTTATGCGGGGAAAAATTGCAATTTTCAAAATTTCTCGGCAAAAGTGACTAAGTAGTATTCGCCATTTTAAATTGGTGTGAAAACTTTGGACCGGCTGTGGCAATTTATTGAACATCCTCGCATATTACCGTTCGTGCGGAAACGTAAACCTTTATATGCCAAAAAAGCGTAATTGCCAATTTTTTTTTTGATGAAAATTTCCTCGTGATACAATAAAAAAATTTAATGAACCTATGTGGAACCCCAATGGGTCTATTTCTTCCCCCACTCCATATAAGATATCTCATGATTTATTAATAATTCATGGGAGCGTTTCAGGAATAATATTGACGGTAAGAACTTTGGATTACATAGGTCTACTTTTTTTGGACCACTGCTGGGCGCTATTAGGAAACACTAACTCATATATGGTGAGGATATCTAAGATTCCAATATGCAAGCTTTCATGGTAATAATGTGTACTTTTTTAGTATGATTGCCAAAACGAGCGAATAACTGTACTAGGTGAAGTGATGTAGGGTATGTAATGGTCGGCGTTCTTTGTCAGTTAATACACAATAGTAGTAAAGAAATTAATGTTGTTTAGAGAAATGAGGGATTTTGAATAGTTAAAGAGAACATAATCGAACCAACTACTACAAACTTAAGTCGACCTCTCTCTTCTGGAAGTTGTGTGAATGATTTAATTAAAATTTATTATCTTATTTCGCTTTTCAGCCGCAGTGCACATATTCTTTAATTAAAGCAGATAATGTTTATGGCTTATATTATAGTATGCCGTTACATATATACGGCAAGTTATATGCGGCTTTATATTTGAGTAAAGGATTGCTTTGGAATAGGCTTCAGTCAGTTTATAATATTTTTACATCAATTGAATTAAAGTGGAATAGCATTGCACGTTCTCTAACTTTTAGCGTGTTCTGGTAAAATCAAAAGAAGAAAATGAATATTTGGAAAAATTAAAAAAAAAAAAAAAAAAAAAAGAACCAATAAAATACAAAATGGATAAACTTTGGCGTCAATTTTATATAGAGAGAATAGCATAGAAAGTGAGATATACTTTATAAGGCACTGCAATAGAGAGAAGTTGAAAAAACGTTTAACCTGATTATCGGCCAAAAAGGCGGCAGCTGCCGAGGCAACATCGGCCGCAGCACCGGTAGTACTTGTCTCGTAATCACCTTCGAGGGAACTCTGCGAAGAAGCCGAAGCTGTACCAGTGCTAGACTCACGTATTAACTTTTAACGCATATACAAAAAATGAATAAATGAATTAGAGAGAAAGAGAGACACATAGAGAGAGAGAGAGAGAAAGAGAGAAAGTTAGAGTAATAGCTTTTAAACTTTTAAGGAAATATTATTTAAAGCAGCGAAACATTTCATACGGCTCTTTTCAACTTATTATGTCACGACATATGGAAAGCTTAGTACGTGTGTTAGGGGATAACATGTCACAAACATGAAAATTATATAAATAAAGAAAATTTGATAAAGAGTAGAAGAGAAACTATTTTTAATTACTTTGAAAGTATGGAGTTGAGAACAATTAAAAACGTATAAAAATATAAGTGAATTGGGTTTTGTGTTGTCTTGATACTCTAAGAGTAAGTTTAGAAAGATCGTAAACACATGATATGTACAACCTTACCTTTACCTTTTCTTTCTTATCTTTTTTAATAGGACTGCGACTACGTGGCGAATCCAAGTCGGGTATGTGATCAGGTGGATGTGCCATGGTGTGACGTTTCTGAGCATCTTTCTCTTTTTCGGCTAAGGCCAGAGCTGAAATATTAGACACAAGAATTAGTAAAAGGTTTATTTAATTTTCTTATTTATACCGTCCATGCTGCGTGATGTTAGACGACGTCCTGATAAACTTCTGTCGAATTTCGGTGCTTCTCTATCCACGGGATTCTTCTTACTTTCGTACATTGTGCGGCCGGAATACCGATATCTAGAACCAAATCTAGGAAACAATGACGATTTACTAGGCGGTTCAGGAGTCATTAAGCGAAAGAAGGTGTGATGCTCTACACAAGATTTCCATAATTTTTTCGCCGCACGATGATTGAGTAATTTAAAGCCGATGGTCACTTCGTGTGGTTCAAATTCTCCAGGACGTATTTTAATATAGAAATGATGGCGTTTATAAGATATTTTTAAGATTTTCGGCCAAGCAAAGCGATTGATGCGTAGTCTAGAGGAAAAACAAATTTAGACGTTATAATCGGCCAAGACCACATATTCTTCTTACATCACTCCACTTGATAGACTTCTTCACCCACTTTTTTTGTCATATAAAATGTCAATTATTAGAGGCACAAAAATTTTACCGTTATATGGAAAAAGGACCCGAAAAATAAGTCAAAGCAGTCCAATTAGAATTGTAAAATTATCTCGTATTATTTTTTATCATTATCCAATCAGTATCAGATACTAAAAAATTAGACATCTAGACTGTCATATCAATTATTATTCTTTCTAAGAACGTTTCCATGGGAATATCATCCGATCCAAATTCTTCATATTCATTAGGTCTGCTAAAAATCGGCTTTCTATACCCTATACCACAAGTGGGGTATCAAATTTATACGTACGTATGTAATGCTCAAAAGGATTTAAGAGAAACGCAGCTTTTGCTATAACAATCGATTCAGAATCACTTTCTGTTTGTTTAACCTACGGTGTTGGAAACTTTTGTGATGCTTTGACAAATGTTTTGGCTCCACGACTAATACGTTTTCAATTTAAACCGAGTTACTTACTTGTCTCGATAAACTAATAGACCGGAAGCACAAACTCCTAGCATAATATCTACACCTTCTGAATCCTTAGCTGGATGTAAGTCCACGCCGTACATGGCCAATTTTTTGGCATTGTCCAAGTAATGCAACTCAGCTACCGCAGGAGATTTACCTCTAAAATGAAAATTAATAACAATTTCAGATAATCTTTCCTAAATATAAGCCTACCTATGGTCTTTGTGCAAATCCATAACTTTTTGTTCCAGTTCTGCGGTCTGATTTGGTGCAATCTTAAAGTCTTGCAAATAACTCCGATCGGGCATCTCTTTGGCATCATAATCACCCATTTCTGATTGCACCAAATATGAACCTAACAGAGCATGCGTTACGAACGTGCATGGCAAGCGGCCTTCCAAAATGTCGTTGCGCACTTGCAGGCACAAATGATAACGCGTTATGTCTTCTTGTAACTGCGATGGTTCTGGTGGATAAAATTTTACTGCGAAATGCAGAGGCCAAGGATCCGAACGAAAGAATTTCGATACCGGTTTCTCAAGGTCCAACCAAGCTCTGGGATCGGTTGGCGTTTCATACGTGAGACCAAAGTAATCTTTCTCGACTATATTAAGGCCAGCACATATAGAATTTAATAAATCGCGACCTTTAGCCTTTCGCTAAATTTGTGGTAAGATAACGTTACAACGAATTGAAACAAAGCAAACGAATAATACTCACTTCTATGGTTACATCCAAAATGGAACCGTCCAATAAGGTAACACGAGCCAAAGCAGCTTTTGAAATTGAAGAACTTGAGGATTTTTTACCCTTGGATGGACTTTCCGTCTCATTGGCGGTTGGTGTTTTCGTTTCCGCTGGCATCTTAGAAAATTACGCAAATTTCCAAGTGAATGATGAACTGAAAAATTATATATAAAATTAATAAATTAATAATTGTTTGGTTTTTTATTAAAGATCGAGCAACTTGATTAATGTAATGAAAGGAAAGATCTGAGCAAAATGAGGATTACAGTCCTTAATAGGCGTATGATTGTAGAAATCATGTGCAGTCAAATACCGACGGGGTAGCATTAATTGCCAGCATTAAGCCAGCTAGGGCTTTTAAGCCCTCCAACAGCCACACCCACAATTCAGAACAATGATATAATATCTATTGAGAATTAAGCTGGCCCTAGGGAGTATTTCTATCGATTTTTAAATCAAATTTTACCGTTAGCCATAAGTCAGGGTTTTGGCCGAGAATAACGTGTTTTGCGGACTATAAGATGCACTTCAAATTCTTAAGATGGTTTTTACAAACATACATTTTTTTATTACGTTCGGGTCATAATTTTTATTTATTGTTAATCATAGCTCGCACTAGCAATATTCAGTTCATCTTCACTCTCGGTACAATCGCTCGTCTCATTAATGTTACCGTTCGTATTACTAGCATCTGATCTATTGTTGTCGTACCTCACGTACTTTAAATTTAGAGACGATTTATTGAAAAAATGTTTTAATGTTCCCTTCGGACCATAAGACTTCGGACCAAAATTTGAGTCCATTTTTCTATGCAGATGTGTCGTATAGTCCGAAAAATACCGTACTTTGAGTTCACATTTACAATATTTTGTCTGTTGTCGGCATGGCTTTTGGCGAACCATGCCCATTTTGAAAATTGTTCTATGGCCATCAACGAAGACTGTATTCACCAAATTACTATCGTGAGCCCGAAATAGATAGATAAACACCACGACCATATGGGCAGGGTATGGGGTGGATTCATGACGATCAAGATCTTAAGAGATAAAGAGCTTAAAAGTCTTGTAGGAATGCAAATAATTTCAATTTGCTGGAGAGCAACTGACGGCAGGATAAATGGTGATGGCATGGTATCGTGTGTATTCTAATTCCGAAGAGCATCACTTCATTTGCTTACTGGAGCAGTTCTTTTGTATGAATTTTTTTTTGGCGAATTCCTTAGTGAATCGATATATATACCCAGTGCCATAATATTTAGGTTTATTGGCATCGAAGTGCCAGTAAGTTTTTTGAACTCAATTTGAAAAGTTTGTCATAATGTGCTTAAACATCTATTCAACTTGATTTAATTTTATTTATTTTTATTATAAATTTTTTTTTCAAAATTATTTTATTAATTTTATTTATCGCTGTTCGTTGTTGTCGCACATTTAACTACTTTGACTGGTTTAATGATTTAATCCATTTAAATTAAATTTTACTTAATTTAATTCAATCGTGATCGTTCATATCACCATTCATTCATTTATTCGAGGCTTGTGTATCATCCCCATCATCGTTATCATCATCATCATCATCATCAACATCAACGTTATAATCATCGTATCGTCATCACACAGAGAGGAATAAAAATGTAAAATGTAAAATGTTGAATGTAGAATGAAGAGTGTCGTCTCAGATGTTAGTTGAATCAAGCTGAAATTCCATTTATATCTATCTACATATGACGGCTAAGTGCAACAATGCAACAATTAAGTGTTTTATTATTAGTTAAACGAATTCAAGATTTTTAATCCATTTAACAGTAATACAACAACACAAAGAGTGATGCACTTTTTCCTTTTTATTATTAAATAAATAAATAAATATCTTTAAAGAAGATTTTGAACTTTGTGGAGCAAATAGGAGAACTTTGTTGAAAAATGTGAAGGAAAAACGTTATTTATGAAAAAGAATACATTTGCGTCTGTTTAATGCTCGAGCTTCGTATTTTTTTTTTTTGCTACACTTTACGACTAGTCAGTGCTCATTGTCAATGTTTTTGCAACTTTTTATAGCTTAAGCCGTTTATAGTGCAAGGCTCTGTTAATTATGGACGGATGTATGCAACAGGCCCAAGGATTTTAGAAGAGACGCACCTTTTATTATTATGCCGAGCGATTCCAAAGCACTTTCTAAATCGATCTAAGTTCATCTGTCCATCCGTCCGCCTATTGTCTGTCCATCCGTCCGCCTATTGTGTGTCTATCCCTCCGCCTATTGTCTGTCCATGTATTTTTTTTAGCCATTATAGTACAAGTGCATGTTAAGTATGGACAGATGTATGCAACGGACACAAGCATTTGAGGCAGACCCAGTTTTTATTATACCGGACGATTCAAAATTCCTAAACCGAGCTAATCTTAGCTGCCCGTCTTGTTTCCTCGCTTACCTGTGTTAAGTTTATGCGTACGTATGTAATACCCAGAAGGGCTTAAGATAGACCTACCATTGTTTCTAACGATCGATTCAGAATCATCTTTTAAATCGATCTAAGCTTGTCTGTCCATCTATCCGCCTATTATCCATGTATTTTTGGGTTCAAAGTATTGATCGGTACAGTGAACTGCTTTGATCCAAGGGCGAACGTTAACTTCCACACAGCACCTTATTTTTGAAAGTCATTATACCAATGTACCAAACTGTACTACGCGAACCCGTTTGAGCTATTTAATATTGGGCCGTGTCCCACCAGCACTGTAGTATTTTTACTTGTTAAACATATGTTTGACAGGTTGTTGTGTTAATTGACAAAAATCACAGCCAAATAATAAGCGAAAGAAATATGTAAGTATGCATTTTCTGCTTTAGGTATTCTTCCTTCCCCCCGTCTCCCGTTGTATGTGCCGGTTTAAAGAAGTCTTCGCATAACTTCACACTTGTTTTAAAATTTATGGAATATATTTTTTTCCTAATATTGACAATCACGAACCAGCACTTTCTGTCATTTCTCTGATAATATGCACAAAGTTTACATCGAAACAAGAAAATGATTTTTAAAGTTTTTCATGAATCAACACAAAAACGAAAATTTGCTTCGATTGTATGCTCTCTGCCGGCAGACGAGGACATGGGAGCTTTTTCTTATTTGTTGCAACAGCAAGCGGTTCTACAAAGTTCATTGTTGCATTAAAGCGGATGAACTGCAATCTAAACCTTTTCAATTAAAAATGGACATTAAATTATCTTTAGGTCTTATCGTGATTACGATAAGTATTTTGTCCATTAAAGAAGCGTTAATTGCTGGTAGTGATGGGATCGTCGTAGACTTTTACAATTTTGTTTTTAGAAATAAATCTGGAATTTGGTAGCGCTCTCATTTGGTGATGCTGGACCCAAGGCATGTTAGTCACTATAACGTATTGAACACATTCATGGGTCAGAAAAGAAAGAAAGAAAGAAAAGAAAAGATTTGAAGTTTTGTAGGAACATTGGAAACTTCTGCATGCAGCCTGATATTAGAAATGGTCCAAATTGGTTCGACTACAGGTCCGCAGTAATGTATGGGGTGGGCGCAACTACGTCTCTCTGAGCAAAAAGTTGGGGCTGTTCTCACCCATTACTCACAGGTAGAGGACTGAAATTTTTTATATTTACTTACGGATAAACCGGCCAACACACAGTTATAAACGGTTCCACGGTTCAATTATAAAGTAAAGAAGATAAAGATATGCTATCTGCCTAAAAATGGATTAATTCTAAAATAACTAAAGAGGAAATCAAGACCTGTTGGGTTAATTTTTTCTTAACAATACCATCGATATGAGTATCAAAGAAAATGACTCGGAGAGTAGATTGCATTCCATATGAAATCCCGCGTATGTCAGGTCAATTTGTTTTCATCACAATGCCGACGATATGGCTATCACATAAAAAACTTCGGAGAGTAGAAGGCGGCAGGGTAAGTATGTTAATTCTACATTAATTATGGTGCACGTTACGATTTGGTGGATTAGATTTTCCTGAATAATACCTTTTAGTGAACTAAAAAGGGAACGCATTTACTTTTTTATAACCATCAATAAAAGTATGTGGCGTTAAATGTTTGAATGGTGATGGGAATGCGATATTCGGCCCCAGATGAATGTAACCTTCTTACGTTTTTTTTTTTTTTTTGAAATTTCCTTTTTAATTAAGACTTCTATTGCACAGAACGCAAGTGCTGATAGTAATTAGAGCAGCAAAAAAGATCTGAAAAATACACGACCTCTTTAAAAGGAACACAACGGCGGGTTGTGTTGGCATTTCGAAATCTTTTTTATTCAAAGTTAACATTCTTGATCACTTCAAGTTTTTGTATTAGTTTGAATGTCCGTCCATCCTTCCTTCATTATTTTTGCATTATTTTAGTTGAAACTGAAATTTGACAATGACGACCTTGGTTAATATGCGTTCATATTACATTTGAAAATGGGCTTGGCTCGACAAGAGAAGAATTCTACTCTCATCATAGAATGGTAAAGTACGAATATGTATACCATTATGTATAATGGATATAAGATTCGATTAAAATGACTGCAATCTTGTTTCTTTCTCTTGTTTCTTTTGCTGAACTTAATTTGTATTTTTTTTACATTGTCATTTGATATTTTACATAAAAAAGATTGAAATTGCAAGTAAAGTCATTAATTAATTTGTAACCCAGGCTTGACCTCCTTTTTCTCCTTTTATTATTAATAGTCACCTTAACCTCCTCTTGATTCAAAAATAGAAAATTTCTAAAGACATTTCAATTGTTTATTGTTGAATAAAAAAAAAAAAAATTTAATTCATTCGATGTATATATATATATATATGTGTACATACAAAAGAGCATAAATAAAATAATAAAAATTTTGAATGCCATTGTGAAAAAACGAAATACCATTTTTTAAATTAAAAAAAATGAACAAAAAAAATCTCTTGAAAATGAAAAATATTGCAAACATTTTATTAATAGAAGAAGTAAATTTGCTACATATATATATGTACACGATATTAAAAGAAAAACTGAAATTAATGGATTGAAGTTAAAAACATTAAAAGCGAATATTCAACGTGTATTACGTAGTAGGGCACAAATAATTATTATTATTATTATTATTATAAATTTAGCCAGAGAATAAATTCTAAGAC